TAGATTTATTATTTGATGCCCTGAAAACGATAAAACAAAGTTCAGTAGCCAGTGAGAGGGTATTTTCTATTTCAGGCAATTTTGTATCTAGAATAAGAACAAGATTAAGTAATCGTTCAGTGGACATTTTATGTTTTTTTGAAATCATATTTCCTGAAGAAAAATTCTAAATGAAATCAAAATTTATAATTTATACTTTGTACGGATTTTAGTTATTTTATTTTTTGTTTGATTTTGTATGGAGTATATTTTATTTTGTTATATTTTTGTAGTTCCATAAATATTAAATAAACTACAAATTTTAAAATAAGCATAAATATTTTTTACTGTTTTAATTATATTTTGTCTTTTGTAAAAATTTGAAAACCGGTGTTTTTAAAAGTTGTTTTTTGTATAAACCCTATTACCCTGTTACCAAATTCGGCACTGTGTCCTGTCCTACAACAAATGAATTCCGTATAAACACACGTTTCTTTAAGGTCCAATGTTGACGTCACCCAGTGTAGTTCACCCAAGTTATCTCTCTCCTTCAAGCGTTCAAACTAGAAAGTGTAAACTTCTCATCGACCTCGTGCATTTTGCATGTCCCACCCTCTGATCTGCCTTGACCTGATTACGGAAATAGTATTTTGCAAAGGGGCATAAGTTATAAAATGTTTATTATATAATTTTATCTCAAATATTCTCACTCCCTTCCCTTCTCTTAGGTTTGAGAGGATTTTCAAGCTCATGAATTAAGACAGTGGGTGTTGTAAAATGTAATTATGCTGAATTGGATGTGCATGCGATTCTGATCAAAGCCTTCGTGGTATGCAGTGCCGGATACAGTGCAACGAAGGATTCAGAGCCTTTCGTCACGTCGTTCCTTTGTCTCTCTTGCAGGTGCGACGGGCTCTCCACCGTCTGCAAGACTCCCTGGCACTGGTCGAGAAGAACTCGCTGAGCCTGCAGCAGAACTGCTTGTCTGTATCGGAAGAAATCGACGAGATCTACCGACGCCTCAGCAAAGCTCTTAAGGATCGCACCGAATTCTTGAGAGGCGAGATAGATCGATACCTCTCGACGGAAGTGCGGAATCTCTCTACTCTCAAACAGAACCTAGAGCTCGAGATATCGAACATACAGAGCAACTGCGACCTGGCAGATAAACACATGACCGAGGCAGTTGAGTGGGACGACTGTGAACTAATGGACGCCAAAGAAATATTTCTAAAAACTGTCGAGTTCATCCGGAATTTTGAATACGAAAATGCAGACTATAATCGCAGAGTGAGGTTCTCAATGTCGACGGATCCAAACCAGTTGGTCCTGCATGTAGCTGGATACGGCGAGCTAACAATCAACATGCCGCATCAACCATTTATTGGCGTTGGGGGAAGTGGAGGTGGAATTGTGTCCACCAGTAGCAGTACAGGTCTTCTTCAGCCCCCGGGTGGACCTGGACTCATGCGGTCAAAGAGTGACCACCGCCTGGCATCTCAGTTCAGGCAACAAGAAGAGCGAGGCGTATATGACAGAGGTTACGGTGATGGCAGTGGAGATCCCAGCGGAACCTCAGGCCGAGTGTCTCCTCTAGGCCGCAAGTTCGGCGAACGCCATTCGCAAAACCGTGGAGGTAATGACAGGTACGAACAACAGCAGTCCCGCTATGGGGGGCGGTCTGGTGGAGGCGGCGACTACTCAGGTGAGTTCGAGTCGCCCTATGACACCGACGGGAACAGACCCAGGTCCAAATACAGGTCCAGATTCTCACGTCACCACGGCGACAACGCGGATTCTGACAACGACACGCAGGGGAATCGGTCAGTGAGATTCTCCGAGGGACACAAGGAGCGAGAGCGGGTGTTGGACACTGAGGACGTCGCTCGAGGCCCACTCAGCGGCATCAGCCGCTTGTACGATTCTCCGCGAGTCATGAAGCGTCTACAGGAGTCGGAGCAGCGAGGAAAGAAGAAAGAGACGGTCCCACCCACTCAAACCCCGCCGCTGCAGGTTAAGGCCCCACAACAAGTTCCAAAGCGCACGCAGAGACAAGTCAGCGAGGAGGACGAGATTTCCAAGATAAAGCGTGCCAACAAGACTGGAGCTTCAGCGTCTGTGGCAGCGGACACCACGACTCAGCCTACCCAGGAAGTCGGCCGACCGGTGTCAGAACGGATCGCGGCCCTGAAGTCGCCGCGAGACACGTCCTCGGACGATAGAGACAGCAGTCAGCCGTCATCACCCACGAGCAGACTGCCACCGCGTGACCTGTCGTCGCCGACCAGAAAGACTCCAGGAACTGAGGTGAGTGCTAGTTGGATGTGTGAGTTATTTCTGCATGGCATCCAGCTAAGTCTTACTCCGGAGAGACCTTTATTTGAAACCCTTTTCGTGAGATATCTGTCAACATTGAAAAGTAAAGAGTTTCATTGCGTAAAATTATATTATAGGGGGGGAAATTACTGCTTCAAACTTTAAAACAATCGCCAGCCTAATAGAGCAATCCAAGGAGTTTAAAAGTAAGTTAGAAACAGAAATATCTCGATTTTGATTCCTTGTTCCATCAATAAATTTGTATCCATTCAGTGCTGATTCTTGCTTTCGGTGCGGTACTGTGGACAAGGATGTGAAATATGAATGAAATCAGTATCGCAATATTATATGGAATTAAAACATATGTATTTTTTTAATAAGTTATCGAAGGCTAAAGTGTAACGTCCATTTTAAGAATTTTGTTGTCATTTGTGGGACAAAATGGTTCATTAAACTGTTCAGAAAGTTTTACTTCCCTGTTTTAATTTACGTCCGCCATTTTGTATACAACAGTGATAGAATCCAAATGAGATTCAAACAAACTTAAATGTAAATCTGACGTTCCAAAATACTATAATTTTGTATTCACATAATATCTCGGCAGGTATAATTTTAAAAAATGCTGCTTTTGACGTATTATTTTTACTCCTATATCATCAATAAAGTAACGAGTTTTGGGCTGGACAAAGGAGTTTAACTCCTGACAGCAGCAGAGTTTCTCCGTGCCAGTGCTACCAGATCGGTTTTCGGGACCCCTCAGTGGGTTCAGAAGGTAACATACCATACCATGGGGCAGGGAGAGGACCACTTTTATATATATATCAATATACGAAGTACGATCGGAAAGTTTCTAGACTGCGCCTATAAAAACCCGTACACTTATCTCAGGTATTAAATTCATCCATCACCCTCGAAGTAGTTCCCCTGGGAGTGAACACAACGATC